GTGGCTAGATAACGTGTTGACTTCATGACTGTTATGTGTCCATTCCTACACCTGCAGTGACACATAATTCTTGCAGTTATTGACAGGAAACACACCACCCCCAAGTCACTGGTGTAAACTATAACAGATATTTACGCCCATGAAGTCTGTGAGTCAGGAATTCAGAGAGCACACATTGGGCACTGCTCGTCTGTGTTCCGTGATGCCTAGGGCCTGCACTAGAACGGCTTTCCAAAGGGTAACTTTGAAAGCTGACACTGAGATGACTGAAGGACAGCTCACATGGGACTGTCGACCAAAGTTATACAAGTAGCTTACCCAACATGGACGTCTCAAGGCTTTAAAAGTACATGGCCCTGGCCCTCCCTGGTGGCTCAGTGGGTTAAAGCTCAGCACTACAAGCTAGCCACAGCCACTTCAGTGCCAGTTTGATCCCTGGCCCCAGAGGTGAGCCGCATGGTGCAGCAGACCTCTCCTGTCTCTCCTCCTGCTCCCCTCAACAGTGTACTTTGTCAATCTGCCTGTTGTGCTCCCCACTCTGTCTCTGGTGAATCCTGTTACCATTCCTGCACCTGTGGCCTGTACCCCAGTTCTGTATGCATAAATGATAAAATAAATCTTTTCTTTTTAAAAGTAAATGGCCCTATATACAAGGTGGGAGCTATGTGCCTTTTATAGCCTAATCTTGAGAGTCACATAAGATCAGTTCTATTGCACTCTGAATCGAAACAGTCAAAAGCCCTCCATGATTTCAGTGGAAGGACTAACTTTTGACAGGAGGGGTAAGGAATAATTTGCAGTCATATTGTATGTATGTGTATATGTGTGTGTATATGTGTATATATGTATGCATGTCTGCATGTCTACAAGAGCTGGGGTGTAGGCCAGAGGTGCAGGAATGTGAGAAGATTCACCAAATTGGGGAACAGAACAGGCAGATTGACTGAAATACACTGCTCAAGGAAGCAGCAGGCCAGACAGGAAGTTCTGCTGTGCCATGTGGGTCACCTCCCTGGCCAGGAATTGAACTCAGGCTGGAGCAGTTGACAATGCTGAGACTTAACCTCTCAGCCATCAGGGAGGCCTGAAAACTGATGTAGATTTTTATCTGTCTCTGGTAAAAAGACAAATATTTTTTCTCTCTCTGTCACACACACACTCACACACACCCCTCTTCCTTCCTTTCCCCTCCCCCACTCCCCTTTAGGTCCCCATCCCAATTCCGGAGTCAGGGGTTAAACTTCCCACTAGGAATCTGAGATTCTGAGATTCAGGCATAAGTAGCATAACAATATTTTGTGCTATATCTCCTCCCATTTAGTTCTTATTTTTGACATTCCAGATTGAAAAAGGTTCTTGGATCCAGTTGCAACATGGGTGTGTTTGGAGGCTTCCCTACACCAACAAACTGTTGAACAGAGTGTGTGAGATGTCACCTTAATTCTGACACTGTCTGGAGACAGCACCAGATTCCCCAGATTAAGAACAGTCACCCAAAGCCTCCCTCCACTTCAGACACCAATCATACGCACAGATCACTTCATCACCTGTGCTTCCAACCAGCCAGCTAACAGCCACAGGTTCCCATGGCCCCTCAACATTTTGTCCATAATTACACACCTGTGTGCCGACCGAATACTGACGAATAGTGACAGGAAGGTCTGTCAAGCTTGAATTCTTGGTTCGATTGACTTGCAGAACTCAGGAAGTCCATTTCCTCTCCAGAGCACAGTATCATTGACAGGGCTGTTATTCAGGGGCAGCGGGTTGGAAGAGATGTATGGGACCAGGTATGGGGAAAGGATGCTGAGCTCCCTTGCACGCTCCAGGTGCATCGCTCACCCCTAAACTCTCCCTGTTCACCTACCTGGAGGCCCTCTAAACCCTGAGCTTTAGGGTCTTTATGGAAGCAAGATAATTTGGCTACTTGTTACTTGAACAAAACTGTCCATCAACGACACATCTGGTTTTGCTGAGCCTCTTACAAAGTGCTGGTTTCTGAATATCAAGTAACAGCTTTTTTGAACACTGTTACATGCTTTCCTTGCTCAATCCTTACCATACGTTGAACTTTCCTTGTAGAGAGTACAGACCAGCTTTTCCCTTTTCTTTTTACAGAAGTAGTGGTGATTACACATGTGTGCGATCTGGGGCTGCTTTCAAACATACACACCCTTCCATCCTTTTTTTCAGTGAAATAGTTTTCCTACGATCACTCCTGTCATTAGTGTTCTGATGAAACTATTGCTTTTGCTCCACTAGTTCTTTTATTTTGTGTGGCATGGTAGCTAAGCCTTACTGTAAACTGCAGAGTTCCCAGACTATTTACCATTAGTTTCTAAGGTGATGTTCCCTTGGTTCATTAATTAGGTTTCATTCAAAACCAAACCAGTAACAAACCCTAGGAGTCTGCCTGGAAGACTCCCAGGCGGAGGGAGAGGGGGAGGGCCCAAGGAACCATGGTGGAGGACTGAGTGCCTTGCTGGTGGGTGTGGTGTGGTGTAGTGTTATAAACCAATGACCCCTCCAAGTTAAAAATCTTTTGCACTTAAATAAAAACTAGAGTTACAAATGCTTGTTTACACTTTACAATATAACACATAGTCTATTTTATTTAACATGGAATTCTGAATCAAAATTTGTGATGTTAGGAAAATCCTAACATGTCTCTGGTGAAAATCCTCTACACCCCCCCCCCCCACACACACACCTTGGGCCTATATCCAGTTCTTTTTTAAAAAAGATATATTGCAGAGAAAATTGTTACTGGGAGAAGCAATCCTCCTTTAGTTCTGAGCATCTCCTTTCTTTTTTTGCTGGGCACACCCATATTGTAAGATCTGGATGGCTTAGGCTATTTCTGAGTTGTTTGCAACAAGAAACTCTGAAGAAGGAGTTTTCTTTTCCTGGACACAGGACAAGCTTGCTTCTGCTTACTGTGGAAGCAGTGAATTCCCAAACTCAGGGTTTCTTTTCTGTAAGTCAACACACTGCATGTACACACATCCAGGATGGGGCCCTGTGTTACACGGTGTGACTTGAGGATCATGCAATTGATATACCAATCAACATGAAGCTCTGGTTACCGCTTTGTCTCTGGCCCAGAATGCTAGTATCATCTGTCAGTGGTCATTAAAGAGTAGCTGGTTAAATATCTATCATACTACCAGTTTAAGTATGGTGAAATCTGATTTCACTGTTTGGGGTACATGTTTCTAGACACTATCCCTACATCAGTTACTTCAAGGCAATGCTTCTCACTAAGGTGATTTCTGCCATATCTGTATACCATCCATACTATTGGTATCTGGTTGTATGTCATGTATGTGTTCAAATTGACTCATCTATTTAATTTGAATACTTTTTTGAAAAGGATTTTCATAATCACCCTAAAGTATAAGCTACTTATACCCTAAGTATAAGCTCATATTTCCTGATTTCAAAATTTGCTAACAAACATTGGTAATCAAGATAGCATGAGACAGGCACAAGAGATACAGGCCAATGGAATTGATTTGAGACTCTAGAAATAGAACCATCTGTCCATGATTAGCTGATTACGCACAAAGGTGCCAAGATCATTCAGTGGGGTGAGGTCTTTCATAAACTATCATGTACCTTAAAGAACAAATTTTAATACACAAATACATGAATAATACCACTTAAAATATGCGTGCACTAGCTGGAGTCATTTCCAGCCACCACCAGACCCTTCCTTTTTTTTTTTTTTTTTTAAAGATTTATTTAAAGAGCTGGGCTACAGGCCAGAGGTGCAGGGGCGGTGAGAGGATTCACCAGAGACAGAGTGGGGAGCAGAACAGGCCAACTGACTACTGAGGGGAGCAGCAGGTGGGATAGGAGAGGTCTGCAGCACCATGGATCACCTCCTAGCTGGGGAAGCAGCGATTTAACCCATTGAGCCACCAGGGAGGGTCCAGACCCTTTTACTTTCTACCCAAGTTATCTGATCACATTCCGAGTAGGCATGGCTAGGACAAACTAATTTTTTTTAAGATTTATTTATTTATTCATACAGAACTGGGGTACAGGCCAGAGGCTCAGGGGCGGTGAGAGGCTTCACCAGAGACAGAGTGGGGAACAGAACAGGCAGATCGACGAAGTACACTGCTGAGAGGAGCAGCGGGCCGGTCAGGAGAGGTCTGCCGCGCCGTGTGGTCACCTCTGGGACAGGTGGGAATCGAACTCATGCGAAAGTGGCTTTAGCTTCTCAGTGCTGTTTTAACCTGCTGCGCCACCAGGGAGGGCCACAAACTAATTTTTTTTAAGTGGGTGAATTTTGAGTTCTTATTTATTCCCTCCAAAAATCTCCATCAAACCCTTTGGTGAGGGGAAAAGGGTGAAAGGAATTCTAGTACCCTGAAATACCCAGTCCTCCAGGTATGCTTGTCTAGGACAGCTCAGCCATTGCTTACCAGGGTCTGGTGCCCGCTGCAGGCTGGAGCAGAGCACAAAAAGTCAGAGCACCCAGACTGCCCTGGAGAGAAGTGGGGTTCAGGTGAGTCCTTCCACACTTCCTGCCTGAGTGGCACCCTCTGTGCCCCAAGGGAATGGATCGATCCTTGTCAACTACCCCCCCATAGAATGCCCTAGGGCAAGCACCCCAGGAAAGGAACAGCTCACACCCACCTAACAGCTGCTTGAATTTGATCTTGAATCCTGCATGGACAGATAGGAAAAACTCTGAAATACAGCTCAGTTGTTATCTTATTTGGTATTCAAAAGAGCCCTGAGAGATCACTGTTATTTATATTTTACAGTTGAAAAACATGTAAAATTTATTTTTCTAAGTGGTCTCTTGGTACTCTGGAGTTCCCATTCACTTCTAAAATTCTGTCAGCAAATATTAAGTGTCCCAATGCCTTTAGAAATAAACTGAAAAGTGCTGTTGGTTATAAAACTTTTATTATTTTTTAACAAGGTGTATACATTCTAGGAATAAAGAAAAATACAAATAAGTAGCATTTTAAAAATCCCCCGATTTTACCACAAACTTTCCTTTTTGTCTTTCATGTTTTTCTGTGCATATATGTAATATACAAATGTATTCTTCCCTTTCAAAAATATGATTTCCCATATTACTTAGTAACTTTTTAAAATTTTATATCCCCTCAACAAGCTCTTTTTGTACAAATGAGTAAAACTCTTCTCCTGAAAGGCAGAGACTTGTAGACTGGTTCAAACTATGATTTATAAAAAGAGAAAAAAATGATCAGGTAACAAGAGCGACGCTGAAATCAACAAGCTACACTAATAGCAACAAGTTAAAAAAAAAAAACAGAAAGGTGGACAGTGTTCTATCAGGAAAATGCAAATCAAAAGAAAGCTATATAGGAATGTTAATATCAGGAAACACTTTAAAAACTACATTAAATAGGGGTAAGGGTGATTCCGATTAACCTTCCAGTGCATCACGACAAGCTTGTTTCTTACTCTCCTGATCTCATCTATTTCATTCACTTCTCTGAATGTATCTCCATTGTTTAAATGCCCGTTGTGTATATCTTCTTTAAATTCCTGCAAAGACTGAATCAGCTTTTCTCTGAAAGTTTCCTCAGCTTTTCCCTCCTCTTCTAGTTCTTTTTCCTCCTCTTCTGGCTCTTTTTCCTCCTCAGGCTTTGGCTCTTCTTCAAGCGTTGGTTCACTCTCATTCTCTGGCTTCCCTTCAATTCTTTGACAGGGCTTCATCTTGTGTCTGCCGGTCTTCTCTTTCCTTCCCTCTGCTTTTTTCCTCCTTGAATGCAATTACTTCTAGGAAACGAGAAAAAGATGGTAAATCAAAGGCTCGATGAGTGGTCCGGTGCTCTGGACAGAAGTCTCAACCTTTGTTTTTTTTTT